CCCACTGAAGCATAATAGGCCATTTCCGGGCTAAAAGCTATAGAGTGCCGAAGAGTTGTTACCGCATGCATAGAACAGACAGAATAGTAGAAGCACAGAGGAGGAAGTAGGCCTCATCACCCCTAGTGCTCGCGCCTGCGCTCCCGGCGTGTCGTCTCGTCTACATTATTTAATACTGTGACTAAAAAGACAAACTTGAGCAAAACAATGTAACCATAAGCCACGAAAACTAATTACTTAGTGGGGAGCTCTGCATCGGTGCGAACAATCATACTGCAGCCCGCAACAAGGCTCCAGTGCACGGTCATCACGATCCAGCAAGCTTCGCCGTGAGAAAAATTGAACTAAATGTGCTTTTAATAATTTATTCGAATCCAAATAGACTTAAATTGAATCGGAAGGGCAGTTGGCCGATACTACAGTAGACCTCGCACCTACTAGCTTGCTACGTTTTCGGCTACGGCCGACTGGTCTCCCAGGTACAAATTCGGGCTAGTTTCACTCGGTTACATCAAAAGATTAATTTGGATAAACGCGTAGAGGACCAATCGAGCAAGCGTCTAGTGTGTATGTGCTTTCTGAAAGGGGGGCGTGCGTCTTTCCTACGTGCGGGTCACTTGGCTCTGTGAAACCGCAGGTAATCACATCCAGTTTCTCCGAAACCCCAGGAAAGTGCCCCAAATGGCCTGTCGCACTTTGGAACAATCAATGCCACATACCACAGTACGAGAGAGACAAATTTTCAGTCGCCTCCCACTGCTGTAGACCACAAGAACGAACACACTTACACACTCAGCAGGGATGCTTTGGCTTGTGCTCACTCGATTCTACCCTAGAAACAAAACCTGTAGTAGAACTAGGGACATTTGATGCAACGAGCGGTCACTCATAACTAGCAAAACAGTCACACAGCGCAGTTCCTGGAGTGGTTTCAAGGCATAACTATCCCAAGTTCTATTCGCGCCAACAATCTTCTTATATCTTTGTGAGTGCACAGACTGGCGAAACAATTGAGGTTTCACGAAACCTCGAACGTGGTGAAGACCACGCGGCATTTCAAGTTGCTGCAAAGTCCCCTGCTAGGAAAAGAGATACTGCGCCAGGCCGCCTTCACCACTTGTTTACGGTCTCGTTACACACTGATGCTGCTCAAGCTTTTCTGGTCATTAAAATTTTTCAGGGGACTTCCACGCGCAGCCTCAGCTGCGCATGGAAGTCTGACTGGCAGCGCCTACGCAAGGCTGGTGGAAAGAAACAATTTCAAAGGCCGAAACATATGAAATATGTGTTGTTTAACAACATCGTCCCCTGGAAAGCGCCTGACGCATCCTTAAGAAACACGTCGAACGCTGCACACCTCTCGGGAATTGGGTTTCGCCACGTTCAATTGCAAAGTTCAATCAATCCCTACGGAAGATCTGACCGCACATATGCACATGAATTTAAGCTAATTAACCACATACTAGTCGCATTGCTAACAACGCAACGCATGTGCAAAGCAGTTCAAAAGCTGAAACACTGTGAAGTGTATTGTTTGGCAACATCCTCCTCTGAAAAAAGTTTGATGCATCCTTAAGCCCGCCAAACGCTACACACCTCATGACTGGTGTTCCGCTACGTTGAATTCCATAGGTGAGGCAATCCTACGAAGATCTAACTGGCAGTCTTAACTACACAGACGCGCATAAATTTAAGTTAATACTACCACATGGCATTGCTAATGATGTTTTCGTTGCAAAGAAGAATTCCTTCAAGGCGGCAGCTACAACATTACGTGATCCGTTTGCCTGGGCTTAGTTCACATCCGATTCACTGTGCAGCGAAGCACGTGAGAATATAACACGACGCAACTGGCAAAAGATGGCAGCAAGACGCTGAGTCCCTCTAAAGTGTCACAAAAATAGTTTGTGACGGCCCATGTACCTTCCGGGAGCACTGAAGTCTCGGGTGTCAGTACAGCTGCCAGGAACCGCGAGCATACAGCGACTTGGAGAGCGTTCTTGTCAGTTCTTGCTCACGCCACAAAGCTTAGCTTTTTATTTTTATATCGCCCTCAATAATTTTTTAAAGATGAGGAACTACATTATCGCTATCGCCCTGTTTTGTTCGGCCACAGGGTCACGTTCCCTACCGGCTGGAGACAATGCTGCCGCAGACGGGTTCGCAGAGACGCTGCTACGGAAACTGAAAGTTATGCCGCCTGCCAAGTGCACCTGCCAAGATGGATTCACCCTCATCGACGGCACGTGCACTCGGTCAATTGAAACTGACCCACAGGTAAATTGATTGACGGAGCTTGACAAACTCAAATTTCGTGCATTAATGTGTTCCCTGTGCAGGAAGTATGCCACATTGGAAGCATGGTGGAAGGCCTTTGCGTCATGCCTGCAGAGGCAGTGATGCAATGCCCCGAAGAATATATCACGGCTTGCACCAAAAAGGATTTAGCCCAATCACCGTGTTGCGCCAAATCACAGACGGCTGAGAAGATTGCGCATTGCAGAGATGGAACAGAGTTTCACGAAGGCCACTGCACGAGGGTTCTTACCCACCAACCCGTGGTTGAGTGCCCAGTTGGCTTTGGTCTCTCGCATGAGGGGCTTCTGTGCGTCAAGGAGGAAATTGGACAGCCTACTCCAGTGTGTGCGCCGCCGGATGCCCTCTCGGCAGAAGGAGATTCGTGTATAACAACAGTAGAGCAGGGCTTCGAATATGTCTGTCCTGACGAATTCGAATGTATTGCAAGTACTCACAAGAAAAAGAAATACAGCCCGCTCTGTTCTGCGTGCGCTAGGACAACGGAAGCACCGCCACACTGTGGCTGTCCTGAAGGACAGATTGCGGTCGAGGGGTTCTGCTATGATGCGGAAACGTACGCCCTGTGTCAAAATCGCAGGGTTCCCCCGCGCAAGCAAGCGCCATCCAAAAAGCAGCCTGTGGCATACCCGTCAAAGGATATTCCAGAGCCAGAAATCGACTGTAAACCAATCGGACCGATCATATGCGACTGTGATCGTCCCTTTTCACTTGAATGCGCCGGCGAGGTGTGCAGATGCCTCCACAGAGAAGTCCTCCCCGTCACGCCCATCTGTAGAGGACAACTTGATGAGGGCGGGAACTGCATCGCCCTGGCTCAGAAGAGGCCCATGTATACTTGTGCAGAAGGATTCACATGCGACGTCATTGATAAGAAGGGCCAGTGCCGATGCACCCGAATGCTAACCGCCGAGCCCACTTCCAGATGCCTAGTAGGAGAACCCCACGGACACAAATGTATAGAGGTTGTTAAGGAGGAGAAGATTTTCGATTGCCCACCTGGATACATCGAGACGTGCTGTGAAGATCGGTGCACCTGCACGAAGACACACTTGGCCATGCGACAGGTCAAATGCGAAGAAGGTGCAGTGAGCATCCAAGGCGATTGCGCTTTCGTTTCCAAGCCATCCGCAGGATGCTACGAGGTAACTAGTTGAATTAATGCTCAAATAAATCTCGATACAAAATGAAACAACCGCAGGGAATGCTACGAGGAGTAAAATGCATCCAGGACTTCATGGTGCCGCCACTCTGCGGATGAGACTGAAGTGGAGCGAGCTCTTCATGCCACTTCTGCGTAAAGCATAAGAGTCTCGATTCAATCGCAATAGTCGAATCGCAATCAATTTTGAAAGACTTTTGAGAGCACTACCTTTCTATGCATCTGTTTTGCGGGAAAGTTGTTCCACTTCCTGCACAGCGTCACGCTGCGCTGTTAGGCGGTCATATAGGTCCGGTTCGGACAGATCTGGTCGTAGCAGTCTATGTACAAACACAGAACCTGCTGCAAATGACAGGAATCCTAGACCGAGCGTCCATAAGTAGTCCTTGAGAGCCAACCCACTCGCCATGGTGATCAACCGAAAGGAGAGGGGAAAACACAAATCCACTATGCCAGCTTTGATGCTTGACCTTCCAGTTCGTACTCTTTTACGAATGAATTTTTGAACGAGATGTTACACAAAACACAATTCGCTCGGCTCTCCATGACCACATTCCCAAGGTAAGGTTGCCAGGGGCGCACACCCAATAAGCGGCCTAACGGCGGTTCACAGTTGTGCTATATTCGCCATAGTTAATTAAACTGGTGTAAGGTTTCCTTTTTGCTGCGCTATGGTTTCGGTGTGGTTGCATGTAATGGAGGGGTGCCTTGGGGCTGGATTCCCGTCGTCAATGATACCAGTAGAGTGCGTGGTTTTTCGAGATGTTGTGAAAGCTTTTTTCTCAATTATAATACATCAGTGCATCTCAAGGGAGAAATCATTCCTGAATAGGTCGGGATGTTCCGCACGCATGTGGAATGTTGCAACGGGCTAGCGAAATCACCGAGGACTGTGCTCATGTTGGATGAACGGAGAAGCTTCACAGGAAAATGAGTGTGTAGAACTTCACGACTTACTATCAGTCTGCATATAGAGGTTTGCGGTGCGACGTTCCAAGACAGCTGTCAATCGCTGGCGGCTACTCTCGTGGCAGCGCTCACCAACCATGTGACCCTTGTTATGTATCTAGCGGGAGGCCAAAAATTTGGGATGAGAATAGCCAATGAGTTTCCAGCATGCAGATGACGGAGCTTTTATTGCTTTTTGGCTGCAGGACAGTAGTGCGCTGCTCGACTCTGTCGTGGGGAGTGTTTTCACAGGGGCAGGTAACAGCCATCAAATGAGCATTTTCAGTCTTGTCTGTGGCTCACTAGTTCATCATATAACATGTGAGGGAATTGGTGAACATGTTGTGTTGCATGATATTCCTGGCTGCCGATTCCTATGCAACTTTTTCAGGCTACGTTGCCGTTTTACAATTAGCCCTGAGAGCATGGCATATTCTGTAGTACATGGACATAGCACTATATTAGATTCCCTTTATTCCAGCACGTCTTCATCCAGAAGAAACTCCAAATTTGCAGCAGATTAGAGATGCTTAAAGGAAAAAAATTCCCGAAAGGGTCATTCATGTGACTAGCGTCACAACTCCTCAGTCAGGAAATCGGTTAAGTAAGCCTGTGACGAAGTGGCACCGCTTATGCAGGATTTTGTGAGGCCTGTTCTATTGCTTCGGGAGACGTGAGTGATGCAGTTTCGTACACTGGACTGCGAGACCCAGGACAACGCTAAGTCCAGTGCCATCGGCAAATCGAAGACGTAGTCATCGCGGATGCCAAATGCCTCCACCAACGCAATTTGCTTCTTGAGGATGGAAGTTAGACAAACTGGCTGCTGTGGGAGGGTGATGCTATCGAATTCCATTTTGCAGCTAGCAATGAGTGAGCTTTCCTCATCTTTTTGCTGTCTGCTGCACAAACGCGCATGATGCCCTAGGGGAAATTGCAAGTTCAAAGTGTAACGCATTGGCATAGTAAAATGTGATTCTGGCGAACTCAGTGTCAGTCGCGCATCTGTTAGGCAGCGGAATGCAAAGGCCGTAATCGACGACTCGACTTATTTGTGTACTGGATTGAGAGCCTTTAATATGGAGCTGCGGCCAGTAACAGTTACCGAAACAAGTACTTGGAATATTGCTTCGAACGTGGCTCCTGCGCATTTCTTGCTCCCCTCTCAGTGAGGGCTTTCGGAGTGCAGTAAAGACGGAGTGCTAGTTGGAATGGTCGGGAAGAAAAGTGGCATCCCGCAAGAAATCGGTAGCTCAGGAAGACTCGATCTCTGCAGGAGGTGCAGTTCAGTAGCAGCTGATTCTCCAAAGATGACGCGTGAGTTCGACTTAGGCGATCAAAAGCAAAGGAACTTTTTGTGCGCAAAGTAACAAAAGACTCTTTCTGCATGCTAGTGCGAAACACAGGTAGGCTCAAAGTTCATACGTGATAACTCAAGTTTGAATACCATCTACAGCATGAAAGGAAGCGGGCGCATCTGCCTAGCACAGCCAATCGAGGATATCTTGAATCGTTAGTGAATTGTATAAGCCATGAAGCCTGATGCTTATGCGGATCATGCACTAAGGAACAATGTAAGTGCCCACAAGGAAGACCAGCCCGAAACCGAAAACTGATGCTTGCCTATGTGCGGGGAACCTCTTACATCAACAAAGATCAAGCTTCTGAACATCTAAGAAAGTATACGTAATGAACAAGAACAATTTAGAGCTGCTGTCTCCTAGAATCTGGGAAAGATCTGGTGCAGGAGCTCTAGAATTCAGGGGCAGACTTTGCTGGTCCAGTACGCCTTCTGCACTGCTGCAATGAAACAGGGCATGCTGTGAAGAAATACACTTCCATTTCTGGTTTTGTATTTGAGAAACAAATTGTTTTTATCATTAAAAGGCAAAGAAGAAGTACGGACTCAGCTTCTCTTTCTTGTTCCCCACGCCAGACGACGGCCGACGCGTATTGGTCCGCAGCCAAGTGTGTCTTCTTGAGGCGGCGACAATTGGGGAAAGCGAAGCGATCCGAGACAAATCAGTCTCGCAAGATCTAGTAAAGAAACTATCCTCATATTAGGCCAATATCTGCGAGCAATTAACGCTAATTTCTCGCTGAAACTGGCTGCGAGGCTGTGGAGCTCTTCTCGGCGGCTGGGAGGGCAGCGAAGAGCCGCCGACCTGGCCTTGTTTGCTTCTTCTGTGCAGTTGTGTCGCTGATCCGCGCAGAATATCCTGAAATAAATTTCTTGTGGAGCAAAATGAATGCCACGAGGGGCTCCGCGGCCGAGCGGCTGCGCCCAGTCGCGCGGATTCTCGCCTTTGCATGTTCCTGCCTGATCCTGGTTTCGAGTCCGTGCGCGGCGTTTGAAAAGTGGGAAAGACCCCTCGGCTGGAATCCCCAGTATGGCCCCCGCTATGTGGTATTTTGGGGGGGTCCATCTGGATACAAAGAGCCTTCTCTGGGCACTTGCAGCTACAGGCATTTCGCGACATCTCCCGAGCCTGCGGCGGCGCGGCTCTCCGCCTTCGAGGATTTCGGCCTCTTGAGTCTTTACCAAGGCTCTCAGGGCGCCAGTTTTCCCCCCGCAGCTGCGGAGGATCATCAGCAGCAGCGGCAGCAGCTGCAGCAGCTGCGGCAGCTGCCGTTTCTTGAATCGCACCCGTCTTTTCGCTACGCGACGGCGCCGGCGGCCCCGCTGCTGCAGCCCAGCGGCAGCAGCAGCCTGCAGCCGCTGATGCGGGCAGCAAAGGCAGCAGCAATGGAGGTTTGCCTGGACTTTCTGCAGCGGATGGAGCAGCAAAGCGGAGCCCCCACGGGGGCCGCAGCAAACAAGCTGGAGGCGGAGGCAGCGCGGGTGTTTCTGGTGCTGCTGGAGGCCTACGAGGCGCAGCGCAGAGCAGCAGCAGGGCCCTCTCCGGAAGCAGCAGCAGCAGTGGCTGAGAAGCTGCAGAGCCTCCTCAGCAGCGCCAGAAATCAAGAAAGCTGGGACTCCAGCAAATACGCGTATTGGCTAGAAGCCAGCAGCAGCAGCACTGCAGCAGCAGGGGGCCCCTACTACTTGCCGGACTTGGAGGCATCTTTGCTGGCTTCTTCTTTAAGGGCCCTTTCCCTCGCGGGCTCCGAAGCCCAGGGGCCCCTGGGGGGCCCCCAGGGGGCCCCCCTGGGGGCCCTCCTGGGGGGCCCCAGCACCTACAGGGACTGCAGCCACTTGGCGAGCAGCTCGGGGGCCCCCGGCACTGCTGCTGCGAGGCAGCTGCTGTGCGCAGACTCCTTCTTTGCTGCTGCTGCTGCTGCGCATAAAGCAGCAGCACGAATTGCTGCTGTCTGCTCCCCCAGGGGCCAGCAGCTCATCAGCAGCGCAGCAAAAAGGCTCCAAAAAGCACTTAAGGCAAATGCAAAAGAAATCCAAAATGAAAGTCCTTTTAAGGCTCTCGCCGAACAAATCCTCAAAGAAGCAGAATAGCTGCAGCAGCTGCTGCGAGCGCCACCCTGCAGCAGCAGCAGCAGCAGCAGCAGCAGCTCAAGACCCAATTCTTGAACAAGAAGCGAAAATTCAGCGGGAAATCCAGCGGAAATAAGGAACAAATCAGCGCGAATGAATAAATTTTAGGAGAGAAAATAAAAATAAAACGAGATAAAATAAAATAAAATTAATTTGTTATTTAAATTCGTGAAGGCAAACAGGCACAACTCAGGGAAACTCAGAAGGCGCTGCTGCGCCTGACCAATGGTGAACTGCTGCCAGAAATGTCCACTGCCCACGGCTAGCTGTGGCTAGCTGTGGCTAGCTGTGGCTGGCTATGGCTAGCTGTGGCCATGCCCAGCTAGATGTGGCTAGCTACGGCTAGCTGTGGCTGGCTGTGGCCACCCATGGCTAGCAGTGGGGACCCAAGGGAGCCCATGAGTAGCCGTAGCTAGCTGCAGCTAGCTGCCGCTAGCTTTAGCTAGCTGTGGCTAGCCGCAGCTAGCCGTGTCCAGCTGTGGCTAGCTGTAGGTAGCTATGGCTAGCTGCGGCTAGCGGTGGCTAGCTGTAGCTAGCTGCAGCTGTGTGCTGGCCGCCTGCACGACTTCAGCGGCGGCAACGCCCCCTCAGGGTTTAGGGTTTATGAAAGGACTCTTCGTTAATTCTTTGAGCTAGCAGCAGCGGGAAGAAGAAGCAGCAGAAATAATCTAAATGCAATAAGCAAAGCAGCACCTGCTGCAGCAACAGCAGCAGATCCCTTCGCTGTGCCCGCACTGTACGTACACCCCAGGGACTCAAAGGAGCGAAATATAGTAAGACAAAAGCGCTGCTGCTGCTGTTTCTTTTTAGAGCTGCAGCAGCTGCTGCTGCTGTCTCAGCCCTGCTGCAGCTCCTGCAGCAGCGAAGAACCCCGCAGCAGCAAGCACCGCCGCAGGCAGCAGCCTCGGGCTGCTGCTGCGCTCAGCAGCAGCAAACGGCAGCAAGCAGGCAGCAGCAATTTAAACTCGGCTGGCCAGAAGGGGCAAAAGAGCAACAAAAGAAACAAATAAATGACTCGCGGCAGCGGCCCTGCGTGTCTTGCAAGAAGCAGACCCGTAGACACCCGCTGAGCTGTCCATACACTGCAACTGTTGCTGCAGAAAGGCAGCAGCAAGAGCTCCATAAGAAACAGACAGAATCAAAATGAGGGGCCCCAGAGCCCTGTTAAACTTCGCTGTTAAGCTTTGCTAAGAGCTGCGCAAGCTGCATGCATGCGCAGCAGCTGAAAAGAAGTGGCGGTACATGTGCGCGGAGCTGCGGGTACACCCCAAATTTTGCAGTGTACGTACACTGTAGCAGCGCGAGAGCCACAGCGCGAATCACGGAGTCCAACAGAAAAGAGCAAATTAAACAACTCAGGGGAATTAAAGAGGCCTCTTATTGTCTCATTATCTCTTATTAGAGGCACTTGCTGCGCCGCAGGGCCCGGCGCTGCGCATGCACACTGCATGTACGTACAGCCCAGCCCTCGGAATTCACATTTGCATTCTGCTGATGCATCACTTCATTTATTTTGCAAATTGCTGCACCTGCGTTTCGCCATTAGCCCAGCCTTGAAATGAATCATTCTTATTTCTTTCCTTTTTCTTTTTTGCTGCTGCTTTTTAATTTAAATCTTTTTATTTTTCTTGAACAAACTTTCTTCCCCGCAGATTCCCGCCTCTGCGCCTCCCCTGGAGGCGGCGGCTGGCGGAGATCTGCCCCCTTGGTTGTTCTCAACTTTTTTCCCTTTATAATCTTTTTATTTATTATTTATTATCATTTATTATTTATTATTTATTATTTATTATTTATTTATTTTCCCCGTTTGCTGCTATCGCAGCACCTTCACCATCCCGGGGCTGAACATCCGCTGGAAAATCTTCCGCTGGAACTTCGCAGCTGCGCAGACACTCCGGTGATCAGCGCCGCAAAGCTCGAAGAACTGAAAACAAAGAGAATTAAAATTAAATTAACTTTAAAATGAATTTAAAATAATTTTAAAATAAAACTAAAATAAATTAAATGAAAACACTAAAGAGCCACGCACTCACTGACACGCCAGGCAAAAAAACAACGCACAGCAGTGTGGAATGCGACAACTGGACTAGCTCTAGTGCAGACGCTGCTGCTGCTGGCTGCTGCTGCTGTGCTGGCTGCTGCTGCTGCTGTCTGCTGCTGCTGCTGCTGCTGCTGCTGCTGCTGTAGCGGACAGAAGAAATGACAAACCTCCAAGTGCGGGCTGTACAGACACCCTGGACAGGTGGGGAGGCCGTGGTGGGGTTCAGCACCAGCAGCTGCAGCTGCAGCAGCAGCCTCAGCGTCTGCAGCAGCATCGTCAGCAGCAGCAGCAGCAGGAGCCTCTGGGGAAGGGGAATTTGAAAAAAGTGACGGCACTGCTGCTTTCTCCTCCATTTCGCTTGGGATTGGGGTGTCTGTACACCTCACGGACAAAGTCAGAGAGCCCCGGGGGCTCGAAGCCACCGGTGCTGCGCTGCTGCTCACAGACCCTCTGCCGCTGCTGCTGCTACTGCTGCTGCTGCTGCTGCTGCTGTTGCAGTCCTCTGTGTCGCTGTAGTCTGCCACTGGCTGGGGAGGAGCAGCAGAAAAGTGCCGCCTCGAGATGCTGCAGCTGTAAAGAGGCTGCGGCGTCTGCTGCAGCGCTGTGGGGTCCCCCGGGGCCTCTGCTGCTGCAAAGGGGTCCAGCTCCAGCTGCAGCGTGGGGCCCTCTGCTGCTGCTGCTGCTGCCCGCTGCTGCTGCTGTTGCTGCAGCTGCTGCGCATGCTCCTCCGCCACTGCATGCAGCGCCAGCGGCAGCAACTCGCTGTTCAGCTGCTGCGGAGGAGCTGCTTCGCCTGGCAGCGAAAGCCGAACTTCAAAAGGAAAAGATGACAGAGCTCGCGGCAGGCTGGGCTCCCCAGCTGCCTCAGCAGCAGCAGCAGCTGCTGCTGCTGCTGGTGCTGCTGGTGCTGCTGGTGCTGCTGCACCCATTACGTGGTCCTCTGCAGCAGTCAGCGATTCGCCCACTGCCGGCAACTGGTTTCGCTCCTTAGAAGCAGCAACAGCAGCAGCAGCAGCAGCTGCTGCTGCTGCTGCTTCTGCTGCTGTTACTGCTGCACTGCCTCCGGCGTCCCGAACCGCCACGGCGCCTGAAGTGCCTTCACCCGTGCGACGCGAAGCACCTCGCTGCTGCTGCTGCTGGCTCTCTTGCTGCTGCTGCTGCTGCTTATGCTGCTGCTGCTGCTGCTGCTGCTGCTGAGTTGCTTGGTGCAGGGCCCCGCTCTGCCCCGCAAGAGCAAACAGCCTCTGGCCCATCCAGCAAGGCACTACAGTGTCGGCGCTGCCGTGGAATATCAGCAGCTTGCTGCCTCTGAACAGCCGCCCCCCTGCAGCAGCAGCAGCAACAGCAGCAGCACAGCAGCAGCAGCAGTGAAGCAGCAACAATGAAGCAGCAGAGCAACCAACACCCATGCAGGCAAGCACGACCTGCCTGCTGCTGGGCTGAAAGCTGCGGGCAGCGCCAACGTATCCAAAAGAAACTGCTGCTGCTGCTGCTGCCGGTGCTGCTGCTGCTGCTGCTGCCGGTGCTGCCGCTGCTGCTGCTTCTGGTGCTGCTGCTGCTGCTGGTGCTTTCTACGCAGCTGCGGAGGCATGAGGCGACAGCAGCACCTCCCGCAGCTGCTGGTACCCTCGGCAGATAATTAACTATTCATAATTACTAGATTATAATTATTAAATTACAATTATCAAATTAAAATAATTAAACTATAATTATTAAATTACAATTATTAAATTAGTAAGAACTCCAAATGCTTTATTTAAGAGCAGAAACTCACCCACAGCCAAAGTCCTGCAGAAGCGCCGGATTGCCGCCTCGTTGTTCCAGCTGCAGCAAAGCCACAAAGCAGCAGCAAACGTGCTGCTCCTGCTTCTGCTGCTGTTGCTGCTGCTGCTGCTGTTGGCGTTTAACTCGGCTGCTGCTGCTTCTCTGCTGCTACGGCTACTGCTGGCAGCAGCAGCGAACTTGTTGCAGCAGCAAGCGCTCGGTGCGCCAGCGTGAGACCCACAGCAAACAGTTATAAAGAAGGCACCAGAAGCAGCAGCAACAGCAACAGCAGCAGCAGCAGCAGCAACGATAACAAAAGCCCTAACAGTAACGGCCGGCAGGGTGAGCAGGAGCGTCTAAAGCAGCAACCGCAGCAGCAGCACCAAGTGGTTCTGTTGCTGCAGCAGCAGTAACGCCAGGTTCAGCAGCGCAGACAGCAGCAGCAGCAGCA